ATAATAATCAATTAGTTGTTCTTCTTATTGTTTGACATGTTCTACTTCAAACACTTGTACTCGATATCAAGATAGATAGTATGTAACAACGAATCAATGTGTTTCATGTTCAACAAGAAATGTAAATTATGTGATGCAACTTCATGTTTTTCTTGTTTAGAAAACTCATATTTATCAAATGGAATTTGTACGAGTTATCAAAACAAATATTCACATTGTCTTTAATGTTCTTGGAACACAACTTCTACTTCATATGTATTATGATCTTATGGATATTGGTTTAATGGAAATGTATGTGTTCAATGTAATAGAATGTGTTAAATAGAAGGATATATTGATTCAACAAAATGTATTAATTGTAAAGAATGATATATTTGATAATAATAATAAATGTGATGATTGAAGTTCTGGTTAATGTGACAATGGTTGTAATAGTTGCTGATTGAAATGAAAAGATAATTATGTTTTAAATGAAAGAAGATGTTATCCAACAATATATCAAAATGTTGTGAAGTTTTAATAAATGGAAGATGTATAAATCATGGTGATATTGGATTGAAAACAACAGATAAATGTATAACATGTAATTCTATTTATTATCTTAAATGGTATTTATGTATTAAAGAACAATATATTGATAAATGTTCTGTTGTTAAAACATCAACAAAGGACAATTAATTTGTCAATGATGTCGAATATAATCCAGATTGTGATGTAAAAATTGTACAAGAATAACAGTGTTATAAATATATTGATACTCTTACTACAAAGAAACGATGAGAACATGTACTGAATGTTCATGTGGATATCACTTTGAAAAATCATTATGTAATACATTGCACATTTGAAATGAGTAGAAAGTACTAAATGTTAAGTTAATTATCATGTTAATAAAGGAGTTTGTATTAAATATGAACAATAAGTTGGTTGTCTTCTACTAATGGAAATAGTTGTACAAGTTGTAAAGAATGATTTTATTTAGATCAAATAACAAATACATGTGAAGTATATAATGAACCATAATGTGAAAAATGGAATATAAATGGATATTGTCAAGAATGTATTAAAAATATACATTATCTTCTAATTCATGTACATTATGTATTATTGAATGATGTTGATTATGTTCAATTACTGATACTAAATATTCAAAGTGGTATATATGTGATTATATAGAAATAGAAACAATAATAAAAGTAAATAGTTGATTGAATGAAATGGAAATGTTCAAAATGTAAATCTGATATTATTTAGAAAGATATAAAACATGTCAATCTTGTAATAAGATTGATAATTGTTTAAGTGGCTTTTCATCACAAAAATAATGTTTAAAATATCAAAAAACTCATTATTTAAAAGATGAATGTATTTCTTGTAGTACTTTAATTCATATGTAAAGAATGTACTTCTAAATAAACATGTTATACATGTATTTGATGATATTATTATGAAAATGGAAATAGAATCAATGTAGTGATATACCAGGATGTTCAAAATGTTTTTGAATTATAAGAAGATGTTATAAATGTTAAAATTATTTTAAATAAATATTAAATGATGAACAAAATGAATATGATTGTAAAGTATGTAATCAGATACATTGTTAAAGTTGTTTTGTTAATTGAAATTATTCAAGTTGTGAAACATTGTACACATTGAATACTTCATTTGAATGTGAATTATGAACAAATACAATTAAAAATTGTGTGTCATCTTCAACAACATTTGGATGTAATAAATATGGAATAATTATGAATTAAAAACAAATATAAAAATGTGAA